CGTCCCTGAGTGTATCCGGGTCCTATCCCTGAGCCCTCTCTCACCTTGGATAGGGTCATAACAACTGGCGCTGCGGACATTAACGTGGAAAGAAACGTGAAAAACGAAAACGANGATGTCGGACACGACGAAACAGATCGAGTCTCTCACGGCCGCCATTAACAGTCTTCTCCAACTACAACTCACTCAGCGACAAAGCGGTCAGGAAGTTGCATCCCAAGCTAACANAGCATCGCACACAGAGATATACAATCATCTCAGTGCTCGGGTAGAGAAATACCATTACGGCTCAGGTGACGAAACAAAACCATTTTCAAAATGGCTACTACGCCACGAGTACACTGTGGTCACGGAAGCAACGTGCTTGCCACCTCAGATGCAAACACGTCTTGTGTTAGACAACCTCGGACAATCTGAGTTCGACAGGTTAGTAGATCACATCGCACCTACGGATCCAACGCACATGCCTCAAAACGAGCTTATCGCGACTCTGAAAGAATTGTTTCAAGACAAGGTTCCTATTACTCGTCGTCGTATAGAAATATTAAATTATCGCTATGATAAGTCAACCTCGATCACCGAACATATCGACCGTATCAACCGTCATGCGGCCGACTTCGACCGATCTAAATTGACAGACGANAATCTACGCATCCTTCTGTTGTTGCAATCGTTTTGCTACTCGCAGGACAACGACGAGCTAAAGAAAATTGCTCTCCGAGTGATCGAGAAGAATCAAAATGCCTCGCTCAGGGATGTTGTCGCAGAGCTCGAAGCTCACATGAATGTCTCCTCGGGTATGAAAACACTCGAGAACCCTGCNAAACATCCTCAACCATCCGTCTTAAAGTTATCGCAGTACAAGAAGAGAAACACTTCGAAACAGAAATCTGCCCCTGAAGATAGTAAAGTACCGGCAGTGAGTATAAAGTGCAACGGTTGTGGTGGCGCGCATCCGCGGTCAAAGTGCACGTTTCGCGACGTGATCTGCTATAAGTGTTCGACCAAAGGACATATCGCGAAAGTGTGTCGCTCAAACGCGCAACAACCGAAGATCGAGACAATAGTCGGAACCGGCGCTAAGTCAAGTAGCGTCAGGTCTCANTCGCTTTGTTCGATCGGCAAACGTCGACGACACTACATAACAATATCGGTACTCGGTAACCTTATAACTCTACAGTATGACACCGGGTCAGATATTACGGTNATCGGTAAAAAAGATTGGATCCGCGTCGGATCTCCAAAACTTTCCGCGAGTGACATCGTTGAACACGCGGGTGGAAGCGAACTCGATATTATCGGCAGATTTCACTGCACCGTTCAAGCTCGCGATCGTACCGGTAATATTTACATCAACGTCGCGTCGCGCGACGGTGTCAACTTATTTGGATTAAACGCCATAGACAGCCTTGATCTGTGGTCTGTGCCCTTATCCGAGCTACATCAGGTTAGCTCCGTGTCGTGTGTGCAGAACGTTTGCGCACCGGTGTCAAACATTGTACCTGTCACGAATCTACTAAACAAACAGGGCAAACGTCCTCTAATCACGGACATCCATGAAATAGCGTCTGAACATAACGTATATCTCGAGAGCGTCCTCCGCCGTTTTCCAGATCTNTTCGCCGAGAAATTGGGCACATGTCGCGATTTTAAAGCAAAGTTCGATCTCGCGAGCAACGCTCGACCGGTGCAAAGTCNGTGCCGTCAAATACCGTTCGCAATGGAAAGACCCCTCGAGGAAGAACTTTTACGTCTCGAATCTAATGACATTATCGAACGCGTAAAAACATCGAACTGGACAGCGCCCATCGTTATCGCAAAAAAACAGAACGGCAAGCTCCGTCTCTGTGC